CTTGGTCCGGTTCATCGACGGTACTATCCCGCCGCCTAATCCAGAAGCTGATAGCGTGGCGTGGAGGACAGACAGAGTTGTTTTGGGCTGGATTCTCGGGTCATTGGCCGATACTGTTGTTAGGACGGTGGCACGTTCTCACACCGCAAGAGATGTGTGGGTGGAGCTGGACAAGAAATTCGGTAAGGCTAATGCTGCTCCGCCACAAGTACCACAAGGTACGTGCAGTTAGTATATCTATATATGTATATATGTAACTAATTTGGGCTTGACAGAGAAAATTTTTTTGGTTGTCAAATTAATTAAGTTGTGCTTGTGGAGACCGAGTATGAGGAGCAGTTGCCTCTGTTGCTGAGAAAGATACGCGAGGAGGAGTGGGAGGATGCCAAAGAACACATAACCAGAGATCCGGGGGCCATCCGAGACCAAAAAACTGGGAAAAAAGACACATGTCTCCACTTAGCCGTGTCGGTGAACAAACCTTATGCGTTCGATTTCGTCCGATTCCTAGGTGAAAGAATGACCGAGCAGACATGGCAAGCCAGGAACAGCCTCGGCGAAAATGCCCTACATACGGCCGTCCGGACTGGAAACGATTCAGCCACGGCGTTCCTGTTGGATGAGTTCAGCGATCTGATGCACGTGCGCAACAACAATGGTGAATTGCCGATCCACCTGGCGATCCAAGGTGCCAAGGAGGGGTCTATTTGGTTGTTGCTTGGGAAAATGGGCAATGTTGTTGATGAACAGACAGGTTTCAAGCTCCTGTGTATGGCGATCGATGCCGAGCATTTTTGTGGGTCGTCTATCTCTGCTACGTATACCTCGTTTTCATTTCTCGTTTTCGCCTCGATTAATTATTTATGCACGTGTCATTGTTGTTTTCGATTCTTTCAGATGAGGCTCGAGGATTGATTGATACAAATCAGGAATTGGTTAACATGGAACTCAGAGACGGCACCTCAATTTTTCAGAAGCTAGCGGTCAAGGACATTGCTGGGGGAAAGCGTTTCAGCTTTTGGGAATGCTTCCGCTGTAAGTGAGAGTTGGTTCCTTAACATTATACAAATTAAGTAATTTTAGTTCAATGATTTTGTTGTTTTTCATGTTTAGTTGCTAACATTTCAAAATTTGGTACATTAATTTTATTTTTCCAAATAATAATAATAATAATAATAATAATAATGATAATAATAATTTTTCTTCGCCGTTCCAAAAAAAATATGGTTTCAAATATTTTATTTATGTGAAATCATTCTCGGTATCGGACTGATGATGTAGAGTCATATTGCAATTTCAAATGAGTATTTTTGGTCAAACACATTGACATAAGTAAATTAGTAGTAGTTTCATTTAGCAACACTTCAACTCGTAATTTTATTTATTTAATTTTGGTCAAACCATTCATAATTAATTAAAAATGGTGTATTGTCATATATATTACAATAAATAAATACATTAATACCTTAAATTTATATGCTACACAGAGTAAAAATATTACAGAACAATAAAAAAAATGTCATATGCTTTCCTAGAAATAAAGACAAAATTTCAATTTTGGTCCTCTAAATTGACCCAAATCCAAAATTAGTACGCAACTTTGTGTCTCTCATACGAAGCCAACAGTTGGCTCCATAGTGGAGTCAACATTCTATATACAAAAAGTAAATTTACCAACAACAACAACAACAAAGCCTTTTAGTCCCAAACAAGTTGGGGTAGGCTAGAGATGAAACCCAATAGAAACAGTGGTAAAAAAAAAAATAGATTGGAGCAAAAGAGAAAAGAGCGAAAGTCACGGTTCCGGCACGTTGATCGCTAGTCTCCAAGCGCTCCTATCCACCGCTAAATCCCTGGAGATATTCCAATCTTTAAGGTCTCTCTGAACCGACTCTTCCCAAGTGAGTTTAGGCCGACCTCTACCTCGCTTAACAACATCGGCCCGTTGTAGAACTCCCCTACGCACCGGTGCATCGGGAGGCCTCCGTTGGACATGTCCGAACCACCTCAGCCGATGTTGAACCAATTTCTCCTCAATTGGAGCCACCCCGACCCTATCACGAATATCCTCATTTCGAATTTTATCCCTTCTTGTGTGCCCGCAAAACCAACGCAACATCCGCATCTCTACTAGACTTAATTGTTGGACATGTTGCCTTTTTTTAGGCTAACATTCAGCACCGTATAGCATCGCCGGGCGAATCGCCGTCTTATACAACTTACCTTTTAGCCTTTGTGGCACCCTCTTATCACAGAGAACGCCCGAAGCTTGACGCCATTTCAACCAACCGACTGCAATTCTATGCCTAACATCTTCATCAATGTCGTCATCCTTTTGTAGCATCGATCCTAAATACCGGAAAGTCTCCTTCTTGGCCACCACTTGCCCGTCAAGGCTAACATCACCATCATCATGAGTAGCCATGCTGAAAGCGCACGTCATGTACTCGGTCTTCGTCCTACTAAGTCTGAAGCCTCTCGACTCTAACGTGTCCTTCCACAGCTCTAACTTCCTACTTACCCCGACCCTACTCTCGTCAACTAGCACCACATCATCAGCAAAGAGCATACACCAAGGGAGGTCACCTTGTATGTCCCTTGTGGCCTCATCCATCACCAAGGCAAATAAATAAGGGCTCAATGTTGACCCCTGGTGTAGTCCTATTTTAATTGGGAAGTCGCTGGTATCGCCCCAACATGTTCGAACACACGTCATCGCATCCTTGTATATATCCTTAATGATGGTAATGTACTTAGATGGGACTTTGTGCTTTTCTAAGGCACACCACATGACATTCCTCGGTACTCTGCCATAAGCCTTCTCAAGGTCGATAAAGACCATGTGCAAGTCCTTCTTTTGGTCCCTATATGTCTCCATCAACTGTCGTATTAGAAAAATCGCCTCCATGGTCGACCTTCCAGGCATAAACCCAAATTGGTTTTGGGTCACACTCGTCACTCGTCGTAGGCGATGCTCGATAACCCTCTCCCAGAGCTTCATCGTATGGCTCATCAACTTAATCCCACGGTAGTTACCACAGCTTTGAACATCACTCTTGTTCTTAAAGATCGGTACTAATGTACTTCTCCTCCATTCATCAGGCATCTTGTTTGACCGAAAGATGAGGTTAAAAAGCTTAGTTAACCATACTAATGCTCTGGCGCCCAAACATCGCGACACCTCAATAGGAATACCATCAGGGCCCATTGTTTTACCTCCCTTCATCCTCTTCATAGCCTCTCGGATCTCTGCCTCTCGGATTATCCTCACCAAGCATCTATTGGTATCCTCAAATGAGTCAACCAACTCCAGGGTAAGACCCTCACTCTCCCCATTAAACAATTTGTCGAAGTACTCTCGCCATCTATCCTTGATCTCCCCATCCTTCACCAGTGGCCGATCCAACTCATCCTTGATGCATTTGATTTCGTTGATGTCCCTTGTCTTCCTCTCTCGAATCCTAGCTATCCTATAAATGTCCTTCTCCCTCTCCTTCGTGCCTAGGCGCTGATAGAGGTCATCATAGGCCTGACCCTTCGCTACACTCACGGCACGCTTTGCAGCCCTCCTCGCTATTTTATAACTCTCAATGTTGGTTGCCCTCTTGTCGAGGTGGAGACGCTTGAAACACTCTTTCTTCTCTTGAATAGCCCTTTGCACCTCGTCATTCCACCACCAAGTGTCTTTCGCATCCTACTTGCCTCCCCTACTGACACCAAATACTTCTGCAGCCACCTTCCGTACACATGTTGCCATCTTTAGCCACACGTCATCTGCATCTTCTCTTTCTTCCCAAGGCCCCTCGCCTAGCATCCAATCCCTAAACATCTGCGCCACTTCCCCTTTAAGCTTCCACCACTTCGTTCTCACGGTCTTGGCACGTTTGTCCCGGTGGACACGTATTCAGAATCGAAAGTCCGCCACCACCAGCTTATGCTGGGGGACAACACACTCCCCAGGTATCACCTTGCAATCTACGCAAGCGCGTCTATCCTCCCTTCTTGCAAGGATAAAGTCGATCTGACTTGAGTGTCGTCCACTATGGAAGGTCACTAGGTGAGATTCCCTCTTCCTAAAGAGGATGTTCGCTATCAGCAAGTCGTAGGCCATCGCAAAGTCCAACACACCCTCCCCCTCTTCTTTCCTACTACCAAACCCAAATCCTCCGTGCACTCTCTCGAAACCTATATTAGCCGCGCCCACATGTCCGTTTAGGTCTCCTTCTACGAAGAGCTTTTCGCTGGCAGGCACCGTACTGACCAAGGTGTCCAGATCTTCTCAGAATTGCCTCTTGGCGCTCTCACTAAGACCTACCTGAGGGACATAGACACTGATCACATTCATGGTCACATCCCCAACTACCAATCGGACTAGGATAATCCGATCGCCTTGCCTCCTAACATCTACAACTCCATCCTTAAGGCTCCTATCGATCAGGATGCCTACACCATTCCTACTCGATGAAGCCCCAGTGAACCAATGCTTGAAGCCAGTATCCTCCACCTCCTTCGCCTTCTGCCCCTTCCATTTAGTCTCCTGGACGCATAGGATATTAACACGCCTCCTAATAGCTGCATCGACTAGCTCACGTAGCTTACCCGTTAGGGACCATACGTTCCAACTACCTATCCGGACCCTAGTTGGTTCGACTAGCTTCCTTGCCCTTCGCACCCGTCGAGAGAGATGCGAAGACCCTTGCTCATTTTCCACTACACCTGGGCGCCGATGTAGCGCGCCACTAAGGAAATGGGCGACCCGGTTGCTCACTTAACACCATGCCCAAACCACGACATAGCGCGTCCCTGAGGGGGAGACGACCCGGTCCTTGCCCATTTGACACCATACCCGGGTTCCGATATGGCGCGTCGCTAAGAGGGTTACGCCCCAATGAATATCTATTGTGTTTCATCTCCATAGAATGACTAGATTTTACGTTGGCTCGCCAAACCTATCACAACCCTCCTCCTTTACCAGGACTTGGGACCTGCTATGTTGAGACAACATAGGCGGAGTAAAAAAGGTAAATAACATTAAGAGGTTAACTCCAATATGGAGCCAACTGAATTTGGCTTCATAGCAAAACCATGATGTTCCGCTATGTTTACGTGAAATAATAATTAACTAAAAATTTGATTCTTCTTACTTAAGTCATATTAAGTAAATATCACATTTAAACAAAATAGGATAAAAAGTGTTGATGCCTAAAAATAAAAATTAATAAAATGTAATTAATGATGGATAAATAAAATGCTATAAATCATTTTATAATTTGAAGAGAGGTACAATTATATAGGAGAGTATGGCAGCCGCCATTTGTACTGCATTATCATTCATTCAGCTATCAATTTTTATCGATTTTGCTATGAAGCTAACAGTTGGTTCCATAGTAGAGCCAACTTTCTATATACAATAAATAAACTTACCATATAAATAAAATTATATTAATGTTATTTAAGTAATCAAAGAATATGGTAAGTTTATTTGTTGTTATAGAAGGTTGACTCCACTATGGAGCCAACTGTTGGTTCCATAGCAAAATCCCAATTTTCATATCTGATTTTTGTTGATGAAAACTATGAAATCTTTCTTGATATATGCTATTTTTTGTGTATGTCAAATGTACACTTGGTAAGGGCGATCTACTTTTTTAGACATTTCAACAATACTCTCTTATCTATACTTATATTATACGTATAGCTAAATTTATAATTTCTTTTTCTAACCATTGTTGTAGTGGCCAAGGACAATAATAGCTCAGTTCATCACTGCAAAAAAAATGATCATGTGCTTCTCGTTGAGTCCCTCTTCAAACGCTTGAAGGACAAAAGTTTCAGCAACACAGTCCAAATCTACAAGGACGCCATGCTCACGGCTGTCGAGAACCGAAGTGAAACGATATTTAACGAGGTTTACCAGATCTTCAACGATAACCAATTTGAGTTTAGTAAGTTGAAGGATGCTTATGAAAACACTCCCCTGCACTTGGTTGCAAGGTTGGCCCCACCGCACAAGCTCAATCTTGTTTCTGGTGCGGCCCTACAGATGCAACGTGAGATACAATGGTTTAAGGTACGCATGCACGCGATCGAGTTGACTTCTCCTATTTATAATGTTTAAGATGTGAGCTGATGAATATTTAACATTTATACAATATATATATTGTATAATAAATAACATTATCTTTTTGTTTCTATTTATAGGGGAAATTATAGTTACAATACATCAACTCTGAACATCGTAACATAAAGTTGACGGACGCATGATCAAACATAGGTTAATTAATGATATATAATTTTTGTTGCATACATATAAGTACTACGTACTCCATCGGTGTATTTCTTTATGCATATATAACTAGTTGTTAGTGCCTTGTTGTTTTTGTTATATGTAAAAAATGGCGAAATATTTTATGTAAAAAGATAATTTATGTTTTTTAATCGGTATGTACAACGGTAAACATCTTTTTAACAATATTATATAGGTAATACATGTAAAACAATAGGCAATCTTGTTTTAAGATAGATTTTAATTAAATGAAACATTGAACTTACATCATTTGTACTAAGATAAATTAAGCCTCCTTAGTATTAACCATCATAAAATTATTAACAGAAAGTGGAGAAAATGTGCCATGATGTTTATATAAGACAACGGATCAACCTTTTCGAGGAAACACCCGACATGATATTCACATACGAGCACCAACAACTGAAAGTCGACGGTGAAGGGTGGATGAAAGACACGGCCAAATCATGCACGATTGCCGCCGCACTAATCGCCACGGTTGTGTTTGCCGCCGCCATCACAGTGCCCGGCGGCACCGAGTCGAGCAGCGGTTACCCATTCTTCTCCCAAAAAAGGGCTTTCATAATATTCGCAGTCTCGGATGCCATCTCCCTATTCACGTCAACAACTTCACTATTGATGTTCTTGTCAATCTTGACTTCACGCTATGCGGAACAAGATTTCTTACGTTCTACCCAAGAGGTTGTGCATCGGGCTCATTGCCCTCTTCATGTCCATATTTTTCATGACGCTAGCGTTTAGCGTGACACTTTATCTGGTTTTCGGTCGGGAAAAGGGTTGGATACTCATACCGGTGGCTGCTCTTGCTTGTTTTCCGGTGGCATCATTCATGCGGCAACAGTCCCCGCTCCTTGTTGATGTTATCTACAATACGTATTGTCTTCAAATTTTCAAGCAGAAGAAAATTATTCGGTGAGTATGCATGTCGGCATTATTAGCGTAAGCATAACTATATTGGTGTACGTTTCTATAATTTGCATAACTAAATTGATGTATTTGTGATGCTTTTTAAAAAAGCATTATTAAAATAAAATTATAACAACATTTTTTAAAAAAAATATAACTAAATCATGTTACTTTTTCAAAAGTGTCACCGTGTTAATCAATATTGAGACATTTATTCAAAAGTGTAATTAAATCATGACGATTTGTACAAAAATGTCGTCATGTTTAGTTATATGGTGACACAACTTAAAAATCGTATTAAAATAATGTCACTTTTACTAATATGACAACACTTACCTCAAAGCACCGGCGGATTTACATAGGGGCCCGTAGGGGCACGGGCCCCTGTAGAATTTTTAACAAAATAGTATATACATATATTATATGTATAAAGATATTATCATATTGACATAAAAAATACATGTTATTAATTATAATGTAAAGTTATTTTGATATAAAAAAATAAAAAGAAAATGTTTAAAATTATTTAACAAATATATTATTTTTTAAGTTTTGGAATTTATAAGCACTCAGCTTCTTGTTTATTTTCTTTTGCATCCTAAAAATATAAAAAACAAATATTATACACACACACATATATATATATATATATATATATATATATATATAGTGTTTGGATCGAATGTGTTCATATTCTTGAAATTAGAATGTGAGACTCAACTCTAGTTATTAAATAAGAAAAAAAAAAGGTGTTTGGTTTTAGATTTAATCTTATTACTTATTTTAATTGATTAAATATTAATTTGACCGTTGACTTTTGACGTTGACCGTTGACCGTAGTTTGTGCCCCCGTTATTTTCAAAGTCTGCGTCCGCCCCTGCCTCAAAGTGTAATTATGTTACGACACTTATGCAATTGTGTCGTCATTTTTAAACATATAACAACACTTCGAAAAAAACATAATTATATAGTTATGGACATTTTGAACAAGTGTTGCATTTTTTAAATAAAATTGTTATATAAAATAATACATACAATGATACCATACAATAATTAGCAAATAGATTAGGGACCAATAAGGTTTAGTCACTTCTCATTCCCATCCCCCCATTCTGCTTCATTCCCGCACGCCTCAGCTCAAGCTTCTCATTCTCCTCATCCTGCTCACGCGTCCTCCGCCTCGACGTCGTAGCATGGTAAGCTTACTTCTGCTTCTCAATTTATGTTTATTTTGTCTTCATTTTTGTTCTTCAATGCTAGATACAACATCTTTATGTGTTGTTGCTTTGAAATTCATATGCTATTTGTTATTCTTGAATCTTGAACCGCATATTTTTAGTTTAAAGTTGAAACTTGAGATGATGTGCTGCCGATTATTTGGCTGCAGGTATCAAGATTTTAAAATATCCATCAAGGAAAAGGTCGAAAAACTGAAGGGAGTCAAAGAACATCTAAAGTTAGGTAGTGTGACTCTGAATTTACATTCTTGAAGTTTTGAGCTTTAGTACTTATTCAATTATATATACATAAGGCATACTATTGTATGTTAAGGCTGGAAGACACTTCGTTTGGGAGCTTCGAGATCGCGAAATAGCGAAGTGTAGAACAAAGCAGACTACCGATCGAGCAGTTGTATAAGCAAGTAGATGGTGTCTAGAATGAGGTTGAAGCAACGGCAAAGAGGGTATCTAGATATTGTATATTGATCTTTTCTAATAGCAGCTCAGTACAAGTATCTTCTGATGTTGTGGCTCTGCCTATTGGTGTGTTTGTTGGATTGATAGAATATTATTTAATTAATTTTCATGAATTATCATGTTTGAATATTTGTATTTTGAATTGTAAGACTATTGGTTTGTTTGTTGGATGGGCTTTTCTACAGTCAGGTACCCTTGTACTTTGGCTTGTACTTACCTAACAACAGGTACCTTTTAAATGAACGCCATGTGTCCTTTTCTTAATAAATAAAAAAATAAATCGAAAAAAAGTTTAATGCAAATACGAAAATGCCCTTACTTAAAAGAAAAAAAAAATTTACTTAAAAGGTGTTGAACTTTTGTAATATTAACATATGACCTA